TTCTAATCCACCATATCTGGATTGAGCATTGAAAACTCTATTTAAAAAAAAAAAAATGCACATGGTTCTGACACACAGATGCATTCAAACATTACTAGTTTCAAAGACAGAGAACAGTATGTGAAGGCAGTGATTTTGTTCCCAAGTCATCCCTATCCAGAACTAGCCCAAGTTTCTTCACAAGTTTCACTTTCCAAGAGGGGATTCAAGCAAAGATCAAGGGCTTAAAGTCAGAGATGAGTGCTTTAGGATGTTGTAAAAAAGAGGAACGTTTAAGGCACGTGAGATAACAGTGGTAGCACAGGGATATGTTTCAAGATCCGTTTCGTTATCACTGTGACTCTGGTCAACTGTATTAAGGTTCTCAAGTATTCACTCCCCTCTTCCTATGAAAGGATTATTTTTCCTTGCCCCATTAACATCAGGCGTGGCCATAAGACTTTCTTCGTCCTGTGAAATGTGAAGAAGTAGCGTGGGCAACTTTTGAGCCAAAGCTTTAAGAGCCACTGTGTTTTTTTTTTTCATATGCCACAAGTTAGAAAAGGGGACTGCTTTTTGTGCCTGAGTCCCCAGATGAATAAGACATGGAACAGAGCAGAAGCCCAACCACAGCTGACATGATAGCTATGAGAAATGAATGTGTGCTTTTGAAAGCTACTAAGATTTAGAGGTCATTTGTTAATGCAGCAGAACTTGTTAATGCAGTCTAAGCTGTCAGATACAGAAATCAATGCTCCTGATACATTACTAAAAATACTTCGTGCATAATTCATGGAAGATCTGAGATACATTCTTTTTGTAAACGATCAAGTAAAATTCAAACAATGCTCCCAGCACAATCCTAGTAAAGCAAACAAATGTAATCAAGTGATCCACAGCATCACAATGAAACGCGGTGTGAAAACTCTAAGATTGAAAATAGAGTCACTGTCAAACCCTGGCAAATGGAGCCAGGGAAGGCCATAAAGGAAAGGCTTTCACACACAATTTGCCCAATAACAGGAACTAGCTTAAGAAATTTTTCCAAACTGCACCTTACTACATAAGTCACACGATGACAGCTAGCAGCTAAAGGACAATTAGCCATTTAAACAAGAACACTTGCCTATTTCAAAAACTGTCTCACAAACCCAATCTAAAACAATAGGGGCCTAAATGTAACGGCAAGATTACAAATCCTACCTAGCAACTACTAACAATCACCAATCAGAACTCAACAACTCATAACGCTGCCAGTATCAATGAGCTTTCTTTCAAAACCAGTTGCATAATCTCCTCTTTCCCCAGGAAACCCCGACCTTGCCCCTTGTTCTCCAGATATACCATACACTACTCTGGTCTGTATGCATATCCAGGATTGCAATCCTACTTCTTATATATTATTTCCAAAGAAAATCTTTTCACATAGAGATTCATCTCTCCATATTTTTATATCAACACCAGTTTCAATCATTCATTCATTTGTCCTGCCAAAATTTACTGAGCACTTGCTCTCTACTAGGCACCATGCTATTCCCTGGAAATACAGAAGTAAATAAGATATAGAGGATACACATAGGAAACAAAGGGAGGGAGAGACTAACGTGAACAAAGTTATAACACAGTGTGATGGGGCTATAACAGAGGCAGGTACGAAGACCTGTCATGTAGCACAGAGAAGTCACAGAAGGTTTCAAAGCAGAGAGAATCTTAAAAGAGCAGGACCTTGAAGGACAGGCAGGTATTTGTTAAGTGAAGGAAAAGGGGATCACCATTCCAAACAAAGGAAACAGCCCATAGCGCAGAGAAAGCCATAAATGGACCTGACAGGGTACCAAGAGGTTCACTGTCAGTGACCTAGTGCATCATGAAGAGAAATAAGGCTGAACAGGCAAAATGGAAGCAGAGAGCAAAGAACTGTCCAAGCCACTCTAGAGAGCCTACTGTTTACCTCGTCAGCAACGGTAAGCCACTGAATACTTTCCATAGATCACAACATGGTCAAATTTGCATCGTAGGAAGCCAACACTGAGAGAAATACAGAGGTTGGATTGGAAAGGAAGAACCCAGCAACATCATTGTTCTCTGCTGTGATGTTTGCATATTTCAACAAAGGCAAATGGCTGATGTTTTATTCAAAAGGCACATGCTAAATCGTTAAGTAAAGACAACAAAAAGCTGACTACATACAAAGGATTTACAAGACTCTGCAGAGAAGAAGTATCACACACAAGAAATCTAGAAAAAATTTAAAGTCGCTTCTTTCTCCTCATAAAACATTCATATTCAATCCATCCTGCTTTTCACAGTATTCTGCTGCCATAAGCAACCCACCCTGGGCTCACAGTAAACCACCCCAAATTGAAAATCAGGATACTAGGTGCAAAACTGCTTACGAGAAGACAGGAAATTTTAAATAGCCAGTGAACAGGTGTATTTCTGACGGACCACCCTTTCAGAAACCAAAAAATTATCTAAGATTGAGCAAAGCTTTCCTTTCTATTTTGATTATACTGGTCTGCGACTATATATCTTATCAGACTTCGCATTACTAACAAAGACCAGGGCAAAGAAGTAAACTCAGTCAAAATTTAGAATTGGAAGAAGTCCTAAATGGCTTCTGCCTGAACCCCAACCTAATGTTTTCAACCTCACTACAAAGTCAGTGCCTCAGGTAACTGTGCCAATTTGCTTGAGTCCCCTCCAACAGGAAAAGAGCCACTATCTCTTGAAATAGCACATCTGATCGGTGGCTAAATTAAGAGGTTTTTGACATTGCAAAAGTATGCTGCCCTTAACAAAATGACTTTACTACCAGCAAATCTGAACAACCATTTGTACCCTTTAGACATACAAAGCTATAAATATAGTAGTCTTATGCAAATATGAGACATTAAAAACAAGTAAAGATGTCCTTATGAGAACCTCAAGATTTTCATAAATATTTTGAAGGTCCTTGAGGGCAGAACCTTCATGGTAGCATAAGGTGCAATGGTTAGGGACACAGTCATAGAATTAGAATACTATGTTTGAATCCAGGTTCCTCTACTTAACCCTGGGCAATTACCAGCCACTTCATGTAGCAATTGTAAAAGTAACTGCTCCATAGGATTGTTCTAAGGAGCAGATGAGTTAACACTTGTAAAGTGCCTATATAGCAAGAATTCAATACCTA